ATCCCCTTCTGCAGCCCAGAAGCTGCCTGCTGCCACTCCAGCCCTCCTTGCTGTGTGCCAAGGACTGCTCTCTTGCCCTGCTACTTCAGCCTCTACTTACCTTCACCACAAAATTTGCCACTCCCCATCACTGTTGACCACTGGAGTTGGCAGCACTCAGTGATCAGGGAGTGGGCAGTGAATGAGGGCTATGCAAGCCAAAGAACAAACCTCGGGAAAGAGCAGGGAGGGCTGAGGCACTTTGGAGGGGATCAGTGGCCTGTGGCAGTGGCTGACTTGCAAGCAGCAACTCACCAGTTATCAGAGGTTGCTGACCCTCGGCCTAGACTCAGGCCTGCAAGGTCTAGGGGTTTATGACTTAGCTCTGTGGCTGGATCCAAATGCATCCACCCCTCTGGGTTATGGATGGCAGAGGGATAGGGCTCACAGAACAGTCCCTAGTAGGCGATGGCCATGGTTGTGCAGCAAAGAAAGTCTCCTCAAGGGAGATGCCATCAGGCATGAGGAATCAGAAAGTCCTTCACCAAAGCTTGGGACAGAAGCCTTTGCCCTTGCCTGCTGTGCAATCAAGGAGGTGTTTCCCCTCTTTAATCCTTCCTCCATTGCCTGAAAACTTTCACCGATGCAGTAGCCTAGGTCTGATTGGGTTTATAACAACTTGTTAATCCTGTGTGGATCGGCGTGTGCAAATGCCAGTCCCTTTAAGATTGAGCCTGGGCAGCCAGAGTCAATGGCCAGCTTCCCTCAACCCAGGAAAAGAGATCAGCCGTCTAGTTTCTTTTCGCAGCCCTCTGCTGTGCTGCAGGGGGGTTGGGTTGACAGGACAAATGTCACCAGATGTGCTATGGATCTGTGGATTTTCCATTTCATTCAAGCCATCTTGAAGGAGCACAGTCCATGACCACTTTGAATGGGCTTCAGTCCATTTCTTTCTGTAAAAATACTGTTCCCATCTGCTTCCAGAGTGTCAGTCTGTAGAACCAATTCCTTAGAAAAGGCCAGGCCATATAGGAAAACACTTGTTGTACAGGTGGTCCTTTAGCATCTGCAAGACCTTCTCACATGCCTCTAAGCCTTTTAGGAAAGGCTGCCATCCTTGATCCAGTCTGGCATGTCTTTCTGCCATATATTTCCCAACTTTCTGATTTTTGCACTTGGTTGGCTTTGTGGTTAGCCCAAATTCCTGCAGAGATTGGAGGTTGGCCTCAATCTGCTCTAGATGTGACCACATCTAGACGAACAGTGGATTGTATGTGGTGGGGTCCAAGAGCCACTGGAAGGTTGTAGGTTGTCCAGCAGGCAAAAAGACAGTGTGGCAATATACTGAGCTTCAGCTAGATGGGCCAGCAGCTCATCAGCCTAGGTCATAGGGTTTCCCTTGAATTTAGAAAAAGCACTGGCCTTTCTAAAGCCTGTAAAGGGTCTCACATGGTACCGCCTTGGTCCAGTGAACTTCAACATTTTATTTATAGAGTCTGAGTGAATGGCTTAACAAACCTGTCCATCTGAGGATGAGACACTGATGTCTAAATCCGTGAGTCTTTTGAGAAAGTCTCTTGTCACCCACCTTAATCAGAGCATCAGATTACTCCCTTGGTAGACCAGCATCTCCCAGGATATTGTTCCCTGGAAAAGAGTTTTAGCAATTCCTTAATGATGATCTTTGCATTGGGAGCACAAAGGTTCATCTCCAGGCCTCTGACAACATGATCAAGTAATACAAATATGTACTGGTACTCTCCTAGCCGCTCTTCTAAAGGGCCAGCTGTATCTTTTTCTGTTCTTTCACAAGAGCTGCCCACCCAGGTTGAGGGGACAAATCCATCCTTTTTGACTCAAGGAGTCAGCAGTTCAGGCATTAAGGCAGAGAAGATGGGACTTTCTGTAGAGAAAACCATGACTTCTTGGTGGACTGTGAGCCAGTAAAGTCAGCTGGAAAGTTGGTCCAGGGGCTTCTCATGGCTGAGGTGACCCAGAGTTGTGACTGCACACGCCATTTCTGGCAAGGCTGTGCAACAAGAAAATTTGTCCAGACTACTTCTGTGTGCTCTTTTCCCTGACAATACAGTCATTCACATCAAGGGAATTCATTGGCCCGCCATGGCCAACTGTGTTGGCATTCATCACATCCAGTTGGTCTCATGCCTGCTTTAGTGTTTCATTCTCCCTCTGCCGTTCCCTGATGGGACAGGACCACTTAGTTATAACATCTGTGTTCTCCAGGGGAGGTGGCACTACCTCCTGAGTGGGCCTGGGGAATTCCTGTTGCCAAAAAATCAACTCACCCTCACTTTTTCTCATCAGGGTAAGTGGGAAGACAGATCTAGCCACATAACGTCTAGCTCTTTGAGACCAAGAGCATCCTTTGTTGATGTCTCCAGACTTGTGTGGCACCCCTACATCTACCCAGCACTTCTGAAAAGCAATTTCAGTCGTAGCCCTTGGTTAACCCCAATTTCTCAGGCCCTGGTTGTCCTCCCCAGGCAGCTGCAGGCAGATATGGAGAGAGACCCATGGAGGCACCACATATAAAAT